CGTTCGAAATCCAAAACCTTGATCATGACTACGAAAAGCACTTACTAAGGATGTGAATATTAATTCTAGCAATTGACGGTAACACACATGTTACTACAACGAATACTTTAAGATATAGTTTTCATATATACTTATTTAAATTCTAGAAGAACACAGATATATTTTCTCGGTTTTCTTAAAGTATGATAGACATTAATAAATATTAAAAATGAATTAAATGCTAACATATACAGCAGCACCAAATCTGTGCTGATACAACTTCTAGTTGGTATCTCTCTCTCTCCAGTCTAGTAGCAGCACCGAATCTGTGCTAACATATACATCTTGTAGTTGGTATCTCTCCCTCTCCAGTCTAGTAGCAGGGTCGAAGCGTCGAACAAGCAACACCAGCACAACCTAAGCCAGGTATATTTTCCCGTAAAAAAAGATATATTAGCCCACGTAAGGCCCAGCCAGCACTCGATCCCCATGACCACAATCCTAAGCTAGCTACCCCGCATCCCGATCCCCACTCTCCGCACCCCAGCGCGAACCCTCCATGCCTCCATCGTGATCGAATCGAACTCCACATCCCTTCCTTGGTCTCCTCGCTGCTGCAGCCTTCCCCGCGACCGTGCCTCCCCCGTCAGCTTTAGCAGGCCACTCTCGAAAATCCTAAACTTACGAAAATCTGATACTGAATGGTTCTACGGACTCCTCTCTGACCAACCAATACTCGTAATTTCAGCTGGTGGGACCTCCCTTCCCTAATCTTCTCCAACCACAACTTCACACGTGAGTCCGTGACAAAAAATCTGCAGGAATCTGTCCGTAAGTCTAGCATTTCTCGGCCACTCTAGTGAGCGCATCAGCTCCCTCCCGCGCCTTAGTGTGCTCTGTGTCTGTCCTCTTCGCCATTGTTTGGCTTAAGTTTGGGCAAGGCGAGTTGTGTGTCGGTGTTGCCTTGGTGGATATGGGTGTTAACCTTTTGGATTAACACTTTGCTGAAAGGCGTTTGTATTGTTCATCTTAGATACTTCCTTCATTTTTATATACAAAGCCACAAAGTCAAATTACAGGTACCAATGTAAAATTTAATGCCTGCTTTGCAAGTCAGCTTTTCTTTTCGTATAATGGGGTCATTAATACCCCACATGCATGCAAGAAAACTGAATGGAGAAATAGCTGAATGTCATTATGATTGCATGCATGCAACTATTAAACAGGTTGCTAGTACGAGAAAATACCATTAATTTTGCCTCGATTACTGTTGATGGCCTTGTATAAATGCAAAACGTATATTTCATAGTGAACTTGTATATAAAAATGGAGGGAATACTTCTTCTATCTATACATGGTACGCATGTTTGTGCGTATTCGAGAAAAAAATTGTCAATTTCAGTAGTTTGTACATTGAATTGTTGAGTATGACAGCTGAGCGGCCTCTGTTGATACGAAAATTCTTCCAAAATCTGGTAAGAAATTTCCATAGGACATATATTCAGCTCCTGAGAAGTACTTAAACATCAAAGGATTGCCTACTTTATATGTAAATATCTTACTCAGAAAAGTAGATCATGGAAGAGTCATCTGTACAGTCATTCTGAATATTATGTTACCCAAATTACAACTCACATTAGAAAAAAGCTGAACATCTGCAGCTTTCTTTCTGATATTGCAAAAGCAAATTAAGACAACATGCCTGCCGGTGTCCTGGAATTAGTAAGTCGTATCTAGAAAACCCAAAGTAAAACTGAAATATGTCAAATGACCTATATTTAGCGTGGTTTTACTAGAGAGAGTATCGTGTATGGCTCACACGGACTCTAGATGTGGCACCTCTTTGAAAATTTCATTGTATGAACGAGGATCCTACATTTTCTTTGATCCGAACGTTTGGTACACAATTTTGAAGGTTTCATCATAACAAAAATCGTCAGTCTTTATAAAGTAATCTGAAAATTTTGTTGGTTGCTGGACAACTTTGTTCTCCAGTGTAGGTGGCGTATGTTTGTGCAAAATGATTATGTAAGGATCTGGTAACTTTATTCTTTTGTCAAGGTTGATTTACTTGGTGGAGAAAACTTCCATTTGCTCTAAACAAGTGAACATGACATGTGTGATGTTCCCAAAAAGGAGCTTTTGTGTGTTGGCTGGCAGCCCTAATGAACTTTAGACATGTATCTGAGGTTTCGTTGGCTGTAAACCAGTAGGGTCAACAATTTGAGTTTTAGCTTTCTACAAAAAAATTAAAACTTAACTACTGGTGCTTTCGGATTTAGAATATTCCTTTGGTTTGGGACGGATGGTGGTTATTTGCAGTGATTGGGATAAACACTGCCCATTGACTACACGTGAATTTACCAGTCTGCGGAAAGGAGTGGAAGTTCACAAAGTGCACGTGTATAAACCTTTCGTCCATCACCTTAGTGTTGACATGTAATAATTTTGTAAAGGTTACAATGATGCATCATTTAGAAGTAGCAGTTATTAAACAATCAAAGAATATGCTCCAAAGTGCACCCGATCGAATTCCTCAGCACGCCCATCCCTCTCCACCCGCAGCGCTCTCATCTTCTGCTAAATGGACCAAAATGATGTTTGGAATTGCTTATTGCTGCTGCAATTGTTATTCTAGTTTGGTTTGCTTGCTCCTGCAATTACTTAAGATTATTGATATTGCTAATTTTTCTGGTTCATAAACATAAATTTACTCCGAATAATACCGGCCCCGTGTCATGAGCTCATGCGCAATCCTCAAATGATCCATTTTTTCTCATGAGCGTCCATTGTACCACGACACAGTTTCTCAAATAGGCCAACCGTTGTTCATTGGAACCAATGTTTTCTCCTGTAGCAACGCACGAGCATTTGTGCTAGTTTATACGAATTCAAAAATAGGAGTACCAAATTTCAAATTTTTTGTCGACCGGCACAAGTAATGCAACATGCACGCCCGCAAAATAGATATTCAACATGTTGCATGGTACTTGTACTAGCACACTACTACATACTGCCTGCCTTGTATCAAAGCAACCGATGCCTCTGTTGCTACTACCGCATCATCAGAGTTTCTCATGGTTACCCTTGCTTGTGCGGTCCTGTTGGACAGGGTCGAGGAGCAAGAAGAAAGGCAAGGGCAAGAGATTGAACGGATTCGCGCCGGACTTCTTTGCAGATCTGTAGCTTTTGCATGGAAGGCAAGAGCAAGAAGAAAGGCCATGTTGTTGAAAGGCAATAGCAAGAAGAAAGGCAAGGGCAAGGGCTCTAGAACTTTGGATGTACGAGTGAATGACCATGTTGTTGATCTGGTCTAGCATAGGACGAGACGTGAGGTATTAGATTTCTTAGCCGCCATTTAAGAAGCACATATTTTTTCCGCCTCATGTCCTTTTCAATCTCAACAGACCTGACCGCTGGTGCCTAACTTCCGGAACAAATTTAGAACAACTCAACCACTCTTTCATTCCTCTGGGGTCCAAGTATCCAATCCAAGGCAGCATGGCGCTCTGATTGGTTCTATACACTGTGTATATATTCCCTAGTCGGGTGACCCCATACTCATTCTCATTGCAAGCGCCTCAAAGATATTGTACTCCACCATGATCCTGCAAGCAAGCAGAAGGCCAAGAATGCCAATGTATTCTCCCCTTCCTGTGTACGCTATTCTTTTGCTTCTTTCTTGGCCATTCAGTTCGGTGCCTATTTGCTCATCCGATAATCGGCTTGTCGCTGGCAAGCCGCTCTCCCCTGGCAGTGTCCTCGTCTCTCAAGATGGGGTGTTTGCCCTGGGATTCTTCTCCCCGTACAACTCCACTAAGAACCATCACTATGTTGGCATATGGTACAACGACATCCCGGAGCGCACGGTGGTATGGGTTTCTAACCGTGCGGCGCCGATCACCACTAACCTTTCCTCTGCAAATCTTGCCGTCACCGGCAGCTCCGACATAGTCTTGTCTGATAACAATGGTCGTGTCTTCTGGACAACGTACAACAGCATCAACATCAACTCCATCTCGGTGGAAGCAGTGTTGGACAACACTGGCAACTTCATCCTTAGATCATTAACTGATAGTACCATCCTATGGCAAAGCTTCGACCACCCTACCGACACTCTCCTACCCGGCATGAACCTCAGGCTCAGCCACAACACGCTTCCACTGCAGCACCTCGTCTCCTGGAAAGGCCTACATGACCCATCCCCCGGTGAGTTCTCCTACGGCGCAGACCCTAGCAGCCTCCTCCAGTGCTTCGTCTGGAATGGCTCGAGGCCACACCGGCGAAGCCCGGTGTGGACAAATTACCTCTATGTTGGTGGATTCAACGAGTCTACCATTTATATGGCCTTACATCACGCCGGTGACGAGGTGTACATGTCCTTCATCATGCCGATTGGCTACTTCGTCCTGCTGGTCAGGATGGAGATTGACTACTTGGGCAAGGTAAATCTACTAATCTGGGAGAGCAACATGTCTGCATGGAGAGCCCTGTATGCAGAGCCTCAACATGAGTGCAATATGTACGGCTACTGTGGTCTTTATGGTTACTGCGACAATACAGAAGTTGTCCCAGTTTGCAAGTGCCTTGAAGGTTTTGAGCCGAGGGATGGTGAAGGATGGATCGCCGATGGCTTCTCACATGGATGCCGCCAGAAGGAGGTGCAGAGGTGCACCCATGGAGACGGTTTCTTGGTCTTTCCAGGCATGAAGGTCCCTGACAAGTTCATACATGTCCCGAGCAGAAGCTTTGATGAGTGCACGGAGGAATGCAGAAGCAATTGCTCCTGTGTGGCATATGCTTATTCCAAGATGAGCAACATGGATATTGATGGGGATGACACAAGATGCCTGGTATGGATGGGAGATTTGATCGACATGGAGAACCACACTCAAGGAGGGGAGAACCTCTATGTTCGGACTAAAAGATTACAAGGTATGCATGATTAATTCCTTGTTCTCTTTCTCTGATTGCTTATGATATATCTAGTAACACAAAATATAGTAACACACTATGTAAAATATAGACATTTTCGTAAAAATGTTGTAAATTACAAACTTGGGAGATAAAAAAATATTTTCCGAATTACTACATTGTGTACACCGTTTTACTAGATTTTATATGTACCATTACTAGGGGGTGTAGAATAAGCTATTCTATACTCACGCTTAGGCCCTGTTTGGTTCGGCCATGGATTTCTAAAAGCAGCTGTGAAAAATCTGCTGTGGAAAATCTGATGTGAAAAATATGTAGGTCATTTGGCAAACCAGCTGATACAGCTTTTTCAGATTTTGGCCCATAGCGGAATTAGGGCATCTCCAGCCGTTGGCCCCCCAGGGGGCGCCTAAAATCGCCGCCTGGGGGTGAGCCGGCGCAAAAATTGGGCCTGGGGGCGAGTTGGTCCCCAGCCGCCGGCCCCAGGGCCGCCCCCAGGCACGTTTGAAAATAAAAGAAGTTCGGCGAAGTTCGGCTTAAACACGATAAATTTCGGCCAAACATGATAAATTTCGGCCAAACACGATAAATTTCGGCACATTTCGACGAAGTTCGCGGATTTTCATTACATAGCACATATACATAAACTAATCTAAAGGAAAAACTGGCTGAAGTCGCCGCCGTCGCCGCCATCGTCGTCGTCGGCCTTCTCCTCCTTGACACGGGCGCCCCTGCTGGACCCCTGCCCGGCGTCGCCATGGCGGACTGGTGGCGGCGCATCGTCGTCGTCTTCGTCGCTGTCGTAGATGACGACGACTCCGCCTTCGTCGCGGCCGCGTCGACGCTCCACAAAGCGAAGCAGGGCGGCGCACTGGCGCTCCTTCGCCTTCTCCAGGCGCTCCTTCTCCATCGCTATGGAGTCCCTGCGCGCCCATTCCAGGGCCGCGCCGTCGTCGTCGAGCTCCGTTGTCACCGGCGCGGCCGGCTCCTTCTTCACCGGCGCGAGCCCCGGCTCCGTCTTCACCGGCGCGAGCTCCGGCTCCATTTTTGGCTTGACGAAGTGCGGAGGAGGAGCCGACGAGTAGGCGCGCCGGCCGCCCTCGTTGATGACGATGCCGGCGCTGCGAGTGCGCCGGCCGAGCGGCGTCTCCGCCGCGGGCTCGGCTTTGACGCCGAGCAGGGCTGGAGTGCCGGAGGAGTGCGATGAAGATCGGGAGGAGGAAGAAGAGGAGGAGGACCCGAACCTCCTAGGCGCCCATGGCCCGGCGCGTCGGTGCTGCGCCGGGGCGGCCGCCCTCGCCGGGTACGCCAACAGCGGGTCGTTGCCGCCCTCGAGGTACGTCAGCACGCCCTCAAGTGTGCGGCCGGGGACGCCCCACCACAGGTGGCGCCCCTCGTTGTTCTGCCGGCCGCCGTCCACCGGCGCGCCGTTAGTGGACGCCAAGCGCTGCTACTGGCGGCGCTCGAAATACGCCACCCAACCCGCGTGGTTGTCGGCGGCGTACTGGGGGAGGGAGAGTTGGGCATCGGTGAGGGAGGCGCGGACGACCTCGACTTCCTCGGCGAAGTACTTCGGCTTCGCCATGGCGTCGGGCAAAGGGGGAATGGGCACTCCCCCGGCGCTGAGTCTCCACCCCGTCGGTCTGGCGCGCATGTCCGGCGGTGCCGGGATTTTCGCCTGGAACAGGACCCAGGACTCCTGTTCGCGGAGCGAACTGCGGCCGAAGCCGTTGGCCACCGCCTCATCTCCGGGGAAGCGTTCCGCCATGGCGACGGGCTCGAGAGAGGTAGAGAGATAGAGGGAGGGGCTGGGCGGCGGCGCTCGGGAGAGGTAGGGAGAGGGAGGGGCTGGGCGGCGGCGAGGGGCGGGGTTGGTGTGGGCACATGCGAGTGCAGGCCACCGGCTATATAGCCGCGCCGCACCCGTGTGTATGCGTGCGAGGAAGGGGAGGCGTCGGCGCGCCGTCCCGTGACGCGCCGCCCGTGAGGAATCAATGGCAAGGCTGACCGGCGGCAGCCTTGCCATTGATTCCCCGCGGGAACCGAGGCCGTTGGGGGAAGACGAGGCGCCGTGTCGCTGACGCGGCTGGCCCGCGGCTTTTTCGCGCCAAAACAGCTCGCCCCGGCGGCCCCGGGCGCCCCCCAGCGCGCCGGGTTCGGCCTGGGTCCGCCGGCGCTGTTTTCGGCCTAGGCCGGCGAAAATCGGGCTCCTGGTGGCGCGGCTGGGCCGTTTTTTGGCGCCGACGCGAAAAAATCGCCTGGGGAAGCCTTCCTGGGGGCGCGGCTGGAGATGCCCTTAGATTTTGGAAAGCACGTTCTGGGCTACTTTCGCTTTTGGTTCAGATTTTGGGAGTGGATTTCTGGAATCGGATTTTGCTGGGTTCGCCCTTTGGTTCAGATTCCGCTGCGATCCGTCGATAAAAGCTGAACCAAACAAGGCCTTAGAATACATATATATACATATATATACATATATACATATATATATATACATATATATAGGGAAAATCCATCCTACCACCCGGTGGTAGTTACCCCACATGTCTCATATACTACCATGTGGTATTATATATACTATTTTATTATTTTAAATATGTTGATATACTATATCTAAGATATTTCAAAGCAAGTTACATGAAAAAATTGCATATAAGCCTATAGTTTTTGTTATATTTATAAAATACGTACATATTTGTACGTAAAAATGAGCATACTCAAAAAGTGATACATACTACCTAAAAATTAGTATATATACTACCTGATTATTGTTATATACTACATACGACACGTACATACTCTCGGTTCCGACAGATACTACATACAACATACAAAACGCAAGTGGTGGTAACTACCACTGCT